AACAAGGTCTAGCCAAAAACAAATTGTCAAAGTGACAGATTAGAGGAAAAAAAAAAAGGAAGTGCTAAAGGTTTCTGGCAGAAGGAAATAGATTGTATCAGCTGCAAAAGTTGAGATTTCTGAGTTGAAGTCTGAATTGTGCTTTCTGAAGTTTAGTAAATCATGCTGTTTTGATGCTCAGATTTGAAATTAAAAAAATGGAAGAGTCAGATAAGACTGTAATATATTGATGCATGTTTAAAACACAGAAGTACTTCCCATAAGCTTTACTTGTCTTGGTTTGCTAGGTACCCAGGGAAGGAGTGTTACATTATTAATACAAACAGTTCAGAAAATGGTTTAGCTACGTGCATCTTGCTAGTCTCTGCATTCATGGCAGCAGCAGTCTCATAAAAGAGGAACATCAGTATCATAAAGCACAAGTTGTCTTTCTGTTTTTTCTACTTCATTGTCACTTGTATTTCAAGCATCAAAATTAAGCTATAAAAAGTGATTAAGCATACTGGTAGCTGTCCAATGCGCTATTATACCATTTATTAAATAGCTTTATTTTTATTTCCCAATTTTTAGGTTTAAATGAAAATAAGGAAAATAAGTGAAATAGAATTGGAAGAAGATTGTGATTTGAAACTGGAAGGAGTAGTGATTTTTCAGTATCAGAAAATATGGCTACTTCATTATTTCTTAATTCTATTTTATATCTGTGATTGAAATTAAACAATGGTGTCAAATTGTAAAATGATAGGGATTAATGTTACTGTAGTAGTACAACAGGATGAAATGAAGCCCAGATTATTTAAAACAAAGACAGTTGCAGTAATGCTGGTTTTCCATGAGAAGCCAAAATAATAGCGGTATTTAAAATATTTAAAAGCTGTTCTGTCTTTTACATCCATTTCATTACATTCTTGTATAATTTTTTATGGGGGGTGGGGGAGGAATCTTGCCTGGAGAAGCCTTACCAAAAACTGTATGGAAGAATGAAAGTTTCAATGCTAACCATTACCGTCAGTCTAGTAGTCAGCAGAAAACACTTTCTTCACGTGTTATTTTCAAAGAAGCGTTTTAGGGCTGTGGGACTCTTAACATTCTAACATGATAACCTTGGGTTAAAGAAACTGTTAATTCCCAACGTTTATGAAATCCCAGCATTCAGCAGAATGCGGGGAGAATTTGCACGGGGCTGGCATCAGTTGATAGAGCTCAACTCCCCAGGCTTCCTTCATTTGTGCCTGCATCTTTAGTCTGAATAGCTTCATGCACCTCTGCTGTGCCTGCAAGGCTGAGATTAGTTTTGACTTTTGTGGAAAGTAAAGGAGAAAAAGGCATAAATCAGAAGATTTCAACATTTTTAAAAATATAAAATGCAACCTAGTGCAAAATATAAAATCTGTCAGCATTCCTGAGAGGTATGAGGCAGGTCAAAGGGATCCACAATCCACAAGCCTATGGATTGTATATAAGCTGCTCATTCAGTTTACGTGTTTGTCTTTTTCTTGGATGAGAAATAGTTGCTGTTTATTATTTCCTTAAATGCAACACAAGCATTTACTCATAATATCCAATCTGAGAACACCTTTCTTGTAACTGCTTATGAAAATCATAGATACAGAAATCAAAAGAAACTGTTTCAATCTGCTTGCATTTAAGGAAATAGGAAGTCTCTTTCCACCCTTGCACATATTTAAGACTGTTTTCTGACAAACTGCTAGCTAAAGGCTTCAGTCTTTCTTTTTGTGCTTACTCCCTCAATGGAATAGCTGAGCTTTTGTAACTGTCCCTACTTTGAAGTTTTCTAGTGGATCCAGGTTGGTTTAAGTATCCTCTATTCCTCATTTTTTTTTCTTTTCTACCATTTACTTCAAAAAGGAGCATGTTAAGAACATAAATTCCTATTCTGTTAAGAGTCTTCTCCTGCAGTTAACTGGTTAGTAAATAATACTTTGCTTTCAGAAGATAGGAAATGGATTTGTGGTCATTCTAGATGTTTCTTATCAGGTAAACTCTCATATGTATGTGTTGGAGAAATTCTGATCAGTTCTTCAGTAAAGGTATTATGAAAGCTCAGACAGACTGTTCTGTCATTATTTACCAAGAGATCTGTCTCTTCCTAAAAATAAACAAGACTTTTTGAATTAGGATATAATTTCCTTTTAAACTGAAAAATTGGAGAGAGACATTTTCTCAAGGGGGAACTGCAGTGGTTGGAAAGAATCTCTGAAAGTCATTGAGTCTAATAAAGCTGGTTCCCTACAGTAAGTTACAGGAAAACGTCCAGATGAGTTTTGAATATCTCCAGAGGAGACTC